TTGAGCCTCCCTGTTATCCTCAAACTGTGACTTTCGGGAGATTGCGTGCCACTCTCTGTCACGGGCCAAACGTTTTTCTCTTTCGACTTCAGACTGCGGGCTTTGAAGCGGGCCACACGCTCCCGACGTCTTTGTTCGTCAGTTAATTTTCCGTAAATTCGTTACAATGAAACTTTAGCGACACAAGTCCTTTCTTAAATAAAACTGGTTTATTCTTTCTGAATATAACTTTGCGATACACTTAATTTCAACAGTCGCGCTCAACTTCAACAATACTCAGTTCAATTACACACTCTCTGACTGCAGTTCAATTACTCATTACCTACACATTGTCCCTTCACGTTGTGACCATCTTATATATACCACACTACCCTCAATCTAGTAATCTCCCGATAATTCACGAAGGTTCGAGAAGTACGTGGCGTGATACTAGTCATGTGACCTCGCTTACGCAACAATATTAATATGCATCCTACAATTTCGTAAAAGCAAATAGTAAATCCTAAATAGTTTAGCTTGTAAATACATATAGGGAATTGGAATTTTCAACTTGAACGGCACATTTATGTACGCGTTGAATCTCTATGGAATCAACAGGTTGTAAAATCACCTTACAAACTAGTGTTTTAAATTGGTAAATCTCTTATGACATTGAAATTTCTGGATTAGGTTTTGGATCTGTCGAAACTTGATACCCACCATATTTTATTAACATAGCCGTACAACATAAAAAAGGCCTAAACAAAAAATTGCCCTAAATTGTTCGATGCCTAAAGCAAAAGATTACTTCATATGATTAAAAATTGTGAAGTTTTCAATAATTTTGCTCCACATTAGGCCCCCCAGTGGCAGAGCACAGATAGCCCATTGTGTAGCTTTGTGCTTAATTACAAACAAACAAGCTCCACATTAGGTTGATCTTTACGCATTTACTCAATTGGAGGCGCTACCAATCAAGATTATATGCTTTGTGTAATGGGTTTGTTACATGGTAGTAGTAGTATCAGTAGTTGTAGTATAGGGGAAGTTTCACAACTTAAGAATTTTTAAGTAGCGTAAGCGCTGTATTGGTTTTAATTTACAAATGCCGTCTACCGAGTATTGTGTACTAGGATGTAACAATATTGACAGAAATGTCTTTCCAAGATCAAACACAAAATTGAAAATTTTTGTAATAAAATTTCAAGCATCCGACGAGAGGGGGCGAACTGCTCCAATGAATAATTGCGAATCGGAATAGCCACTGAAATATTAACAGTATGTTAGATATAATGTAATTTTAGACAGTGCATTGTACCAACAAAAACACACAAAAAATGTGATTAAGAAACAACTTTGTAAACAGAAGTGATATTGTAAATAATAATATTAGTAACTTTACTTTCTTTAATGGATATAATTTAATCAAATTATACTCAAATCTAAAATAGTTTTCATGAAAGTTGGTCTTGTTTTTCTAGCATTGCATTAATAACTTCAATATTTCTTTTAATAGAAATAATTATTAAATCCTGTCATCACAAAAGTTGACCTTAAAATTAGAAGTAGTAATGATGGTTCTGATA